GACACGATAATGTTTAATTGCGGGGTCGTGCGTAAATCCAAATAACTCTAAATTAAATAAATTCAAATGACGATGGTTTTTGAGGAGCGGGGAAAACCGGAGTACCCGGAGAAAAGCCTCTCGGAGCAGAGTAGAGAACCAACAAACTCAATCCACTTATGACGCCGGGTCCGGGAATCGAACCCGGGACACATTGGTTGAGGGCGAACGCTCTCACCACTACGCCAACCCTACTCCCCAATAATTTTTCTAAGTTTAGATACCTTGACGCTGTAATGATGTTTTAATAACTTCTATTTACATTTACTTCTCTGAGTTTGAAAAGCATAAATGAGACCCACGCGTATCAATTCAGTGGGCGTGCAAGTAATCAGCCATGTGTAATTTTGGTTTTATTTTTCATTTGTCAGCTGGTAGAGCGGGCATTTTTCAAGGAAGATGACGGATTCCACGAAGGTCTCAATGGTGACTACGGTGAATTTATTTCCGTTACGGGAATAAAAGACAAATTTTTAAGGTCAATCACTTTTACGACTGACCGTTAAAATTTGTCAATTTTTACGGTTAATAGCTAAAAATTCTTGCCGTTTACTGCTAACGGCTAGTCCTATTTAGACCCTCTTCCACGGGAAACCACACCAAAGCTTTGAATTCAAGGAAGACGTTCAACCTCGTCTTTAAGAAGCGGGAAAAACAGATGTTTAAGCGCCCCCTTCCCGTCTCTGTGAAAACCGTCTTCCCGCACACAGTGCCTCTGCTTGAGGGTCTCTTTTGCAGCTAATGGTTAAAATTCGGGCCAATTTACGGTTAATGGCTAATATCTTTCCACTGTGGTCACCAGAAATCTTATAACAGCTAACTTCATTTTACCCTGCAAGCAGAGCCTTTTTAACCCGTCCTCGAATCGAAAAGGGAAAAAGGCTCTGCCGAAATCCTGTTGTTGCTCGTTTGAACATGCGCGGCGGTTGCCTACAAACTGATCCTTTTCCAGGCCCCCCTTGAACTACTGAGGGCGCAGATTTGGTCATCTGTGTACATGAAAAATAAAGGCGTGCGCACTAAAACCGGTTTGACTGGAGGCAAAACCAGCTTGAGTAGCTCGGAGTTTTGGGCTTTCGGCATTTCAAAGCAACAACAGGATTTCGTCAGAGCCCTTTCCCTTGGAGGGTTAAAAAGAAGAAAAGAAGAAGAAAAGAAGAAAAAGCTCTGCTCGCAGGGTAACTTCATTTATAACTAACGGTCAAAATTTGTCAATTTTTACCTCATACAGCTAAATATTTCGGTCGTTTTACGGTTAATGGTAATTAGGATTAACACCATTGAGACACTCCTACTTCTTTCTAATACCCGCCAAGACTAGCTAATGCTATATGCGGGTTGTGTAAATTTGCTTGTAATGTTCTGTAAAATAATAATAAACAACAAACAAACAACAAACAAACTCCTACTTCTTTTGGAACGAGAGTTGCGTCAAATCCCAAAGAACAGCTGCAAAGGAGATTAGAGGATGTCTATTCGCATCTCATTCCTTGTAAAGCCCCTCCTTTCAGGTTTCTAGTAGTAGTAGTAGTAGTGAACTTTATTTCTGTGTCGTGAAAACCTAGCGCATAGCACTAATTGGGGACACAGGGTAAAAGCTTTAAAAATAAGAAATCTGGAACCTATTTACAGAATTATTTACCTAACCTATTAACAGTTAAAATTATTTATCAATGTCCCGGAGTTAAAAATCAACTATTACAGAGCGCACATTTTTTGCATCCATTATCAATCATGACAGTCATTTCCGTTCTCCTGATTTTGCTCTTAAATCCGTGCAGGCTGTCTTCACTGCGTAACTCTTTTGTGAGTTTCGACCAGAGGAGAGGGCCATAGTATCTTATAGAGTGTTTACCATATTTTACTCTCTCAGAGATGGATGGCAGATTACGGCTGGGAACGAATCAGTAACATCGTGGCGCATAGTTCTTAGGCAGAAGCCGCTGACGAAATTATCTCTTCAAAATCGCTCAAAACAGAAGCATATGTCATGTCAACCCTGTGATGTCTTTCCTGGAACTAAATGTCACCTAATGGTCGCTATCTACATGTAGTGGCTTCTCCATTTGTGTCATTATGGAATGCTTTGTATTTCGTGTTTGTGACGTTGTTGTGGTCAAACTTGTTTGGTCGTAAAAAGGAAGGGATCAAGTCGAGAAGGGCGCGTTACTGGAACCGAACTACCTACATGGCCTCTCGCTCCCCTCGAGATGGAAAACGTCCTTGCAAATCTCAAAGCTCTTTTGATGAATTCGAAGATGATTTACCAAAAGATATCGCTCATCTTCGGGCGTATCATAAGCAAGCTTATGGCTACATTGCAAAGGCTTTAGAAATCGACGAAGAGGGAGGTTAGAATTACTTACTTTCCTTTTACGTGTGCATGTACTTATACTGAAGAATATGTGCATTGAATCGTTGTATATGCAGCCTCTTTCCCAGTAGCAACCCATTTCGAGTACTGCTATTTAAGAAATGAGCACAGATTTGTTCTCGATTAGCTACCCTGCCAAGATCGTTGGATAATAATAAAGTTCAATTTTGTAATTTTTTTTTTTACATGAATACTAATATGATCGCCATTATTCAAAGGGGGCCTGTCATCGAAGAAAAGAGCTGTAGAATTCTACAAAAAAGGAGTTTATGAGTTGGAGACAGGACTTCTGATTAATTGTGATAGAGAAGGTGTGGTGTTTCAATTTATCAACTTGTCTAATAAGTTACTTTACACTTGCACACCAATGTGCACAAAAAGTCTCAAGCCTGGGANAATAAAGTAAAAACAAGTAAATAACTAAGGTACTAAAGTCTTAAAGTCACGAGAGTGGCACAAAATAGTGTAAAAATACCAAAAAAAACCAATAGCCCCTAACAAATTAATATCAAGTAAACTTTACAAAAGACAACGACTCTTCCATAAACTATAAACTCATTATAAATACGCAGAAACAGAATTACAAGGTGAAATTATTTAAGAGCTGCTGATCTCAGAAAATGTTTTTCCACACATAATTTTTAAAAAGAGTATTTTTTTTTCATTCTTGGGAGAGGTAATTTATTCCACTGTGGAGAAGCAATCACAATTTACTTCAATAGTTCTTCTGACTTGCGTTTTACGTTTTACAAATTCTTTTAATCTAAATAGCAGTAATTACAAAAATAGAAATCAATAAATAATTTGTGTATTCATAGAAGAAACCCTGGCGAGGGTTCGAACAGTTTTTATGTACTACGAGGATGGTCTGAAAAATTACTGGCGATTTTTGTTATCAAGTTAATCCTGGATCAGCACGCGTGGTGGATATGTACTGTCTCTAGTGTTCGTATAAGGTTTCCGTTTTGAGTGATCTAGACATTTGTAACAACTCCCTGGTCCACCCGACCAATACTCAATGGCGGCGCAATCAGAACATAATTGTTTACAATTCTCCAACGTCACACCGTGTGCAATCCTTTTACGATTATCAGCACCACACCCCTCTGGTGAATAGCTTCGCCATTGCCCTGCAGATAAAAAAGAAATAAAGATCGCCTAAAACCTTTCGCTGTTTAAGTTGATGTTACAAACAAAGAGAATAGCACTGTTCAAAAAAAAAAAAAAAGCGCCTCATAAGTTTTTATTATCGATCCCATCTCACACCAGAATCCCTACAATCACTTTGATTGGCACTGAAACTCTCAACAGCGCTGTAATCGCAATTGCAGCTCATTAGCTATCAATGCAACGTACATATACCACCATTCTCACGGCTGAGAACGCTAACAGCAATTTCACGAAAAAAATCCCTCTTTTTCCTATCTATAACTACTTTCATTTCTATAAACCTAACACCCATCACCACCTCCAATCCCAGTGCTAACATTCAAACACGAAGACCCTTGCCATCCCATTCTCAATGCACCATCGGAACAAACCGTCAAAGATCTTATTGTACCGCTCAAGCACCAAGCAACAACATGTGTAGCGAGAAGAAAACTTACTTCTTCTCTCACATTGAGCTGCCTTGTAGTTCTTATCGCATGTACATACATATCCATTCACCTGATCAACGCACGTTCCTCCGTTCAAACAGGGATTGCTAGAGCATTCGTTGATATCTGTGTGAAGATAGTTCCCAAAGATTTACGATTGATCTTGAATTTACAAATGGACAAAGGTCATTCATTTATAGTGAACGTAAAACATAGATCTGGCTAAATGCTCACCAGTTTGGCAGTTTACTCCTCTGTACCCAGGCTGACAGTTACAAATGTACCAACTTTTCTGGTGAACACACTTCCCACCGTTTAAACAAGGATTACTGGTGCACTCATCCATATCTGATGCAGTAATGGATTTAAGAAAACATCGACTCGTTACGAGGTTGCATATTTATGAAGTCTACTTTCGGAGTAAAAAAAATATATGAGGGCAAAAGAGACGAGTTAAAACCCTCATCTTGAAAATGAACATTTCAGGACTGTTGCATGGTAGTTATCTTGTTTTATGATGAACAGGAACAATATTGAAAACTATCTAATCGTAATCAAATGTTAGCTTTTCTGATAGAAACTCAATAAGACACCAGACACTAAAAAGCAGCTCAATTTCGAAAGCCACACATGTACGCATTGCGGGCCTATTTTTGATTGTCTTGTTGAGCTCTTCTTTTTTTAAAGCTTCAATAATATTGTTTGCTCTATCTATATGATTTTAAAAGATGGAAAAACGATAGAGTTGACTCGAACTTGTCTCGTGACTCGAACTTGACTCAGGCTCCAACTTGACTCGTGATAACGGAGTTTTCCAAAAGAGATATACATAAGGCTCGACCAGGCAAAGAAATTAAAGAAATGGGAGGTTAAAAGTTCTAATTTTTATAATTCAAGAATTAAGTTTTATGAGTTCTGCCACAGGCTGTATGTACAAGATCAATCAAATATTGATATGCACATCTAGAATTTTTATTTGGCCTCGTCATACTTAATTTTTAACTATGGCCTCGTGCAACAATTGCAACAGACTCCCCGGTTAAAATACGTCTTCAGAGCAAAGGTATACATATCTAAATATGCGTTTCCTTTCTGGAACGAAATAAGATATAAATCAGCGAATGAAATACATTATCAAATAAAAAATTCATTCCACCGAAAAAACACATCTTTCTTCCATCTCCAGATTCTTTACA